TACTACTGTTCTCTCTGACCATCAAAGGGCAGGACAGTACACTCACCTTAGCTACCATGTCTCCCTTCAGCCCAGTTCTACCTGATTTCCAGGTCCTTATTCTATGGGCAGAACACTCAAAGCTTGTTTCTACTCAGCCACACCTGAGAGCACATACATCAGCATTGTGTCAGGAGAGCAGGACCACCTGTAACACCTTCCACCTGCATAGCTATCAGTTAGTGCAGACCAGGCTGTTTTAAGCTGAACAGGCCTCACAAGTCTTCTGTATCTAACACCCACAACGTTCTTGAGAAAGCCTCTTGGGGTTAACCGTGAGGGTTCTAATGAGGCCTTCTACTGCTTCATGGAAACAGTGGTTCCACCAGGCTGCATCTCAGCTCAGAACACAGGGTGTTCAGGACAAACTTTAGCTCAGGACAGGCTAGGAATGAGGTCTAACACCAGAGTCCCACAGATACATTTCACTTATGTGAATTCCCCTGCACTGCAGAGAGCAGCACAGGAACTAACCAGGAGGAGAGTCTCTCTTTAAGTCCTCTTTAAGTCTCTCTTTAAGTCTCTTTAAGAAGAAAGGTCAAAAGGACCAGGATAGCCCTAGGTCTCAGGTGCTAGAGTATTACACCAGTTTACAGGAACAGCCAGCTACTAGGAGCACAGATCCTGCCAGGTACTCAACCTTCACACCCATATACTTAGATAAGAGGCAGCAAACCTCAGCTCCAGACTAAGCCAGGGAGGGCTAAGAAAGCAGCCATGCTGGGCTAACCTAAATCTGACGGTCTCAAGAGTGGGAGGCAGCCCCCTGTTCACTCTTTGTACTGCCACTGTGCAGAATGGAAGTTGATTATAGACGTTCTTTCTTTTTAGATAGCTTATTTTTAGGGCAAAAACAGTCCTAAAACAATTTCCTAAACTCATACATTCCTCTGGAGGGTTAGATGATAACTTACCTGAAGTTCTCACATTCTGGGTGAGCCATTTCATCCGAATATTTCAGCATATCAGATTTCATACTGTTAAGGATCCCAAAGGCTCCCTCAAAGCCCTAAAGAACGATACTTAACTTCCACTGGCCATAGGTGCTATGATTAAAAGGCCAACATGAGACCCTTTAAATTAAGGACAGAATATATGGAGTGTTCCTTCCTCAGCCACATTTAATGACTAAACAGACACTTGTGAAATCATGACGATCAGAAAGATGTGCAGACCACTTCACAAAGGCAACATAATCAACGCTTTTTAATTCCTTGTTTGAGAGAAAGAGTCTCTTTCACTCACTACGTAGCTCTAGCTAGCCTGCCTGGAGCTCACTAATTGACAAAGCTGGCCTCAAACTCTGCCTGCCTCTGTTTCCAGAGCACTGGGAGTAAAGGAGTGCTTAATTCTTAACATAAGAGACCACTCTGAGCGATCACCGTGTGCTGAACATGTGGTGGTCACATAAGTATGCTAAGTGCACTGTAGACACTGAAATGTAAAGAAAGCAACTTGCTCCAAGTTGCTGAAGGGAAGGCATAGAATCATGCCAGCTATGACATCAGAGTCCCACACAAGGCCTGCTGGAATGCTTAAAAATACACGTCCTCAACTTTGTGATAATTGGTAAGCAAAACACTTAACAATTTTTACTATTTTATATGGTAGATGCTAATAGAAATGAACTTTAAACATTACTGTATCCATATGAGTATTTTGCCTCCATGTATGTCTGTGCACAGGATGCCTGGTGCCTACTAAGGTCAGAAGAGAGCACCAGATCCCCTGGAACAGCAGTTACACAAGTGAACTGCCATGTGGGTGTCAGAAATTGAACCTGGGCCCTTTGGAAGAGCAGCAAGTGCTCATAAATGCTGAACCATCTCTCTAGCCCCAAAACTTTTAAATATAGGGCCAATGATACAGCTGAGTGTGTAAAGGCACTTCTTGCACATGCCTGACAACCTAAATTCCATCCCTGAAACTCTCATAAAGGTACAGAGAGAGAGCTGACTCCAAAAGTTGTCCTCCAACTCTACACATGCAGCACAGGCAAGCTCAACCACACACATCACATAAACACAACAATAGTACACATTTATAAAAGTTTTTAAGGGCATAGGAATGACTCAGTTGGTAAAGGTGCTGCCAAGCCTAATGACCTGAGTTCAATTCTAAGTAAAAGGAGAAAACTGACTAGAAACTGTCCTGTGAAACACACACACACAAATAAATAATAAATGTGATTTTATAAGATAGTTTTAATGGGCAGTGGTGGCACACACCTTTAATCCCAGCACTTGGGAGGCAGAGGCAGGCAGATTTCTGAGTTCGAGGCCAGCCCGGTCTACAGAGTGAGTTCCAGGACAACCAGGACTATACAGAGAAACCCTGTCTCGAAAAACAAAACAAAACAAACAAACAAACAAAGATAGTTTTAAAATAAGTAGGGTGGGAGGAGCTATAGACTCTGGAATAGACTACATGGATTCAAATCCCAGCTCCTCCTCCACTTGGCAATTGTGTAAGCTTGGTTTAGTTTAACTTCACGTGCTTCTGTTTCACTGCAAAATGAAGTCAATAGTAACCTTAACCTTATCAGGCAGTTAGCAAGATTAGGGGGAGAAGTCACATGATGCTTTCAGAACCATGCCTGGCATAAGTTAAGCCTTAGAAGATCTTGGCTAGTGGTATACTTCTTGGCACAAGATGGACAGCCAGCTTAGGCCCACCATTTTAACACCTTTGCATTACAAAGCCCAGACACAGTCACTCTGTGTACACTGGGCTTCTTCCTGCTGCTAGCATCCCTCCTCATGCATGCTATGTGGCACTGACTGAACTCTGGGTCTCAATTTTCCCAAGGAAAAATGAAATTACCCAAACTGATGTACTCCTGAGAGTCTTCTAGCTCAACAGTCAAAAAATTTCAACACTCCTGGCCTAAGACATTTACTTTATATCTAGACCTAAAGCAAACATCAGGAGACAAATATATAGAATTTCCTAAACTCTTTTTTATATATGTCTATTCTGACAAACCCTCTCCAAGGTCTCAGACCCCACATCATGTGGCAAAGATGCTCAGTGCTGAGGATGGGAACATGAAGTTAAGGATCTCTAACCCAACAAGAGTCAGACTCTAAGACAAGGCTCCCTGAAGCCATCCATGTCCTCCTCACTGTTAGAAAGGCTTACACAAGGAAGTAACTGGTCCTGGTAGAGGAGGAAGATAGGAAACTCACTCTCTGCATAACAGGAGTTAGAGCTAACTGAAGGTACTAAAGAGACAGAGATCCCCAGGAGCCAAGTGAAATGCTGAATGTGCGGGGATGGGCTGAGGGCAGAGTGCAAAAACCTTTGCTGCTCAGAAAGAAAGCAAGCCTAACTCACGCAAGAAAGGTGCTAAACAAACAACACACCAGGGCCAGCTGGGACCACTGAGGGCACCAGGGTGAGCAGAGCCTTGTCTTGTGATATACCAGCCTCAGTATGCATCCGCCTCTGTCTCTCTCACTCCATCTCCCGCAGTCATGCCTCCTTCTCTTAATGTTCCAGAAGAGTGCACCCATCAACCCTAAGCAGCAGGTATATGCCAGGTTCTCATTACAGCTGCGTCTCATCAGCATCATGGAGCTCAGATCTCAATGGGTCAAACCCATACAACAGAGCAAGCAGTGAAAGAGCTGGAGGAAGGAGGGGGCAGTATCAAACTTGAGTCTCAGTTTGGCACTGGCACATAAGTGTGCCAAGACTGATACAAAGGCTAGCCAAGTCACTTTAACAGAGCTGCCAAAAGCCACAGGCAACCCATCCTCCAAAAGTCTGCCTTCAAATACCAGGACTCCCTCCTCACCCAGAGGATGAAATAATCACAGAATAGCCAGAGCCTCCAGAAGTGACAAACTGCAATAGTACACCCAGACTCTTACAGAGCAAATCTTCTAATTCCTCCTGGAAGATAAAGACCCCATCTATGTTACTTTCAGACAGAGGCAGTTTCAAGTTTCACTGGGCCTGGTCAGGAGGTATCTCTGATATTCTCAGCCTCACTGGGACTCCATCAGGAGTCTGTACTGGCTAGCACTCTCTGGAAATCTAGCCAAGCCGGGAAGGGCTGACAAGATCCTGGGGGGGGGGGGGGAGAGATTGGGTCAAAGGGCAGGTTGTTCCTCTAGCCTACCAATCTGCCCAATACTGAGGGTCTCTAGAGATAAAATGGGTTCTACAGCCAGAGAGTAGAAGATCTGAGGAGGACATGGCCCAGGAAATGAGCCTGAGGAGAATGGGGTCTAGTTTTCCTCTCTGAAGAACCTTCTGCAGCCCAGGATCTGGATAAGGAGGCCCAAGATGGGAGAGGACTCAGTGGGTCAGGAGATTTAAGGAAGAGGTTTGACAGTCTGAGAAGAACTGGGCATGAGGAGGAAGACGATATGAACACACCACAAAGGGCTGAGGAGGAAGGACTGAAGGGGACAGAGGTCTGAAGAGCAGACTCGGTTCGCAGCCCATAAAAAAAAAAAAAGTCGGACAAACCAGTCGAAGCCTCCGGTCTGAGAAAACTTAAACAAGTTTTGGATGGAGGTCCAAGGATGGAGATCCAAAGCACACCAGGGGTCTGAAGACCGAATGTTAAGAGGCCAGGGATCTGAGGAGCTCTAGGATATGAACAGGAGAGGGGTTTGGGGAAGACAGAGAATCTGAATACCACAGGGTCTGAAAAGGAGTAAAGGCAGTGATCTGAAAACAGGACAGGGGTCTGAGGAGGACGCTGGCACAGGGCGCGCAGAGCAGACACCTGTATGTCTCGAAGCACCACATCTGAGGAGAAAACTTTTCACCAAGTTCTGGAAAACGCGCAAGTTGCGACAAGCTCTGACCTAGGGCAGCCGCACGTCAGCCGGCCACCAGCCCTCCACCCGCCCTCTCAGACCGCCGACGCAGCAGCAGGTGGCAGCGGTCAGCGGCAGCCCTCCGCAACCTCTCTCATCTTGACCCTGCAAAAAGCCCCTTAGTACCCGAGCTACCGCAGCTCCAACGCCATCTCCAGGCCCGTGGCCCACAGCCCAGGCCCCGTGGGGCCCGCAACTTGCTGGGCTAGGAGGTAGACACTGCAGACGCCGGGCCACAGCAGGTGCGTGCCAGCCGCCCGCGGCTAAAAGCAGCTAGCGCCAGACCCCGCCCCCACCACGCCCGCGCTCTATAGCCACGCCCCCACAAGGCTCTTCCGCTAAGCCTCTTCAGCCCAACACCCAACTCCAAACACTCGCTCCGGCCTCAGGCGTACCGCCACGGCCCGTCCTCCATAGACACGCCCCCGAGAGCTTCCCTAGCCACGCCCTACGCTCTTCCGTTCCAACCCTCCAACCAGGCTAGCCACACACCCAGGGACAGGCGCGTTGCCACGCCCCGCATTCCCTAGCCACGCCCTCTCGCTCCCTAGCCACGCCCCCGCCAATCTTTCACTGCTCTTCCGCCCGAGCTCTCGACCCCCGCCGCGGCTCCGTAGGGTTTGGAGCCCGACATTTACTGGCGCTGCTTCTCCGGCCTGCCAAGTATCGACCCTGGGATTCAGGAGTTGTGTCCCCGGCCCTTTTCTGTCCTCAGGCCCAAGCGGGGCTACGAGGAAAGCTCTGAGAGAGTCACAGTGTCCACACCGGCATCGCAAACGCCCGGCAGGGGCCCCTTACCTGGTCGGCTCCGCCCGCGGCCATCTTGGAAGTGGGAAGTGGAGGGGGGGGGAAAGAAGCGCATGGGGCTGGTCCAGGCCTGGGGAGCCGAGCGGCGGAGCGCATCGATGGGGCGCCCCTGTCCAGCAGCTGGGGGAGTCTTCACAACCCACCGGAATATGTAGGGGTACACTTGAGCACAAGTTACAGATCGTTGACCTTGGAATGCCCACAGCCTTAGCCTCTTCACCTGTCAAACGGGCTTTTCTGATCACTGAGTCATTGCTCTTAGTGCCTAGCGCTGTAGTTCGAAAACTTTTTTCTTCATTTTCATATTTCAATGCACAAAACCCAGCAGGCCAGGCCTCGGGAGGTAATATATAGGGTTCATCGGTGCCTTTTGAAAGTTGTGCGATGGACTCGCTTAGGAACTAGATGAGGCCTCACTAGACAGCATCCTTCTCTAGCCAGAGATCCAACTGCTTCTGCCAGTGGATTAAAGGTGTGTGCCACCACACCTGGCTTTATGTACATGTTACCTTTTTAAGTAGCAAATATTACAGAGATACTATCTATGAACAGGTATGATTCAGGAGGTAGAAGTCAGCTTTAGCTGAGAAGAGTAAAGCCAGATGCCTATGGAGGATGTCTCCTTGCCAGGTCATTGAGCTGCATTTTAGCTTCCTGAATTCATCTGAGCTCACTGTTTCCTGAGCCTCAAAAAGCATGGAGACGTGAATGATTGTTGGATCCATACCAAGGGTACTTGGAATTATTTGGGTTTATTCTAGGAGTTGTCAGACCTTGAAGAATTGCAAACACAAGCCCCTTTAAAGCCTGACTACATCTCAGCCAGGAAACATCACATCAGGATGGAACCATCACAGTCCTAGAGGAAGAGGAATCTCCCTGCCCTGGCAGATACCTGGAGGCATGCAGGAGGAAATTCATTTATTTTGGTTACAGTTCACAGTTCATGCTAGCCTCAAAGTTGCAACCTAGAAAAAGATGAGTTTGAACTCCTGATCTTCCAGTGTGTACCTCCCCAATGCTGGGATTATAGGAATGTACTGACACTCTTGTTTTAATTGTACATTCACTTCAAAACATTAGGTGATGGTTTGACCTCTGTACGACTCTCTCAGATATTTTAAAATATTTTCACAAATCTGAACCAGAGGAAGGGCTTACAAGACCAAGGTTATGATCAAAGGCTATGAAATGCATACCATCCCTAGGGATGAAAGAAGACAGAGAGAGGTTGGGGCATAGCTCAGTGGCCTGAGTTCAGTCCCAAGAGTGAGAGGAGAGGAGAGGAGAGGGGTGGAAAATGCAGGGGAGAGGGGAGAGGGGAGAGGGGAGAGGGGAGAGGTGAGGAGAGCTGCGAGGGG